AGACTCTCAAAGGTGGAGTACAATTTGGACAAGGAGCCATCAAACTTCTTCTGGCCCAGGCGCAGAATTTTGTCTGCTGCTTTTCTGGCCTGCTCCTTGTCTGCAAACCGGTCCTGCAGTGCCTACAGAAATCCAGCCACCCCCAACCTTTGCGCCCAATCAGACATCTCCATACCTTGCTTGCTGGAAGTAGAGGTGCACCATTTCAGTGCAGTCCTCTCCAGACGAGCAAGGATGGCTGACACTTTCACATCCTCGGGTAGGTCCTTTGTGCAGTGACCCAATCTACAACATCCACCTTAGGGTCCTCGCCATAGAACATGGGTGGAGGGGTCAGCTTGGGCCACTGCTGATCAAATGAAACTGAGGGCTGTGAAGTGGCTGTTGACTTGGGTGTAGAAGACGGGGATGAGGGTCTGGATTGTGGGAGTTGCTGAGGGCCTGCTTGAGAAGGCCCAGGGGATGGAGGCAAGGTCAGGGTGGTAGGGATCTTCAAATGAGTAAAGATCTGGTCCAGAGGTGTCATCCAACTTTTTAGAAAAGCTGAATGACTGCTCTCCAGACTGGTAATCCGATCATCCCAGTTAGTAAAATAAGAACGGTGAATATCATCCTGCAAGAGGATGAACTCAGCCATGTCCTTATTGTACTGGCTGGAAGTACCACTTCCTGATCTTCTCCACATCTGCAATCAGCAGCTTTCTCCTGGCCTCCTTCTGAGCTGCTTCTTCTTTCTTCTCCACATCTGCAATCAGCAGCTTTCTCCTGGCCTCCTTCTGAGTTGCTTCTTCTTTTTTCTTTAGCTCAACCTTTAGAGACTCAACTGCCTGGACCTGCTGCAGGAGTTTTTCCTGTTGGGCCCGCAGTTTAGCCTCTAAAGGGTCAAGCGGAATTTGAGGGTTTGCCTTAGAAGCCTCTCCTTTCCCAGCATCTGCCATTTTGATTTCCCACAATTCAGATAAATAACAACAAACAAATAATTAAAGATAAATAGGAAGTAGCAGTAATTGAGTTTTCTCTGCAGTACTCACTCAGTTGCTGCCACGTGCCTGGAGAGAGAAGGTTGGTTAGTCTGAGCAAGTGAGTGCTCAGTCTCAGCAGACCGCTTGAGGGTCAGGGTCAGTTTAGAGTACACTCAGCAAAAATCCCTTTCACGATTTTCCCATCACTGCCCTGAACCAACAATCGCAAGCAATAATTGCAAATCCTACATCAATAACTGACAGGATGCAGTCTTGGACTGATTAGTGTTGATTAGTAGTTAGACAGAGTGACCAATTAGGGTTGGAAAGGTGTCCACTGATAACCAAGATGCAGCGATTTACAGGTAACCCTATTTTAAACCTACCCTGCAAACTCAAGACATCACAGTTCTTACTGTAACTGACTCAAGACATCAAATCTGGATGTGCGATTTCAGACACAGACCGAGTACTGAATTGCGATTTACCAGGGACTGACATAATTGAATTCTGACGGACGAAATTGAAGTTATGACTGACCCTAGTCTCTCCAAGCTTCAACTATGTCAGCGCAGAATTCAAATTTGCATTATCACTGAGAACATAACCATGAATTCACCAATTCACTACACAATATAAATCGCAGTACTGTAAAGCAGTCACAGATGAAATCTAAGTCGGGGAGGTCAAACAGGGTTAGTAGAAGTCAAAAAAGATAGGTAGGGGAAGTTGGATATGGCTGTCCCACAATCTGAATTTCAATTTTCAACTGTAAACTGACAGACATACCAAATTTCGTTCTAAAAATAGACCCAGAATCGCCACACAGAGTAGAGTAAGGAACACACTCAACTCTGAAGAAGATGCATTAAACTCTAGCTATGGCTGACTGGTCAACCCCATCTCGCCAGTTTCGTCTTCTGACAGTACCCAGTGTTCCCACGTATCAAATTGCCTGAAACTTGGTGATCCAGTAGAGGACCCTGAGGCGCTTCACTCCCAACTGATAGATTCAATGAATTCGGACTCCCAGGTGCCAATAACTGATAAACTCAGTGCAGTGCCACATCACCCTGTACTGCGTTGCTTGGAAATTGGGGATCCTGACCCAACTCCAAAATCGCAACCTCCCGGGATCACTTCCTTGCCAATCGCCAGCCTCCAGATGAATCGCCAGACTAAAAATAGCCTCCCAGAGCCTCTCAGGCCTCTGAGCACCAATCGCCTACTACTCCTGCACAACCCTAGTCAGGAGTGAGTCACCCTCTGTCCAATTTTTCTCGCCACACACTCACTACCACCACCCTTACTGACAACAACCTTGAAGATGATGAATCGCCATGAGACTCAACTCCAGTATCTCGCCAGATGATGATGGTTGCTCCAACTCGTCAATCTCTCCAGAGTCTAGATCCAATAGCTCTGATACCAACTGTTATGATTCTGGTTGTTTATTGTCTGAAGACCAACACTCACTCACATAGACTTCCAGGTATGCACATACATACACAGAAGGAAGGGGAGAGGATAGGAGTATCACACCGCACAGGGAGAGAGAAACACAGCGGAAGACTTGACCATGCGAAATGACAGGGTACACTGAAAGTGCAATTCACTCCACTCGATCCTCACAACCAGTCATAAAGAAAAGCCGACTAGATCACATCCAGGAAACAATGAAACAATGATAGTCCAAACCCAATATCACACTGTTCATTAAACTTAAGAGTCTCGAATTGTCAAGATAAGTTTAATACTACAGTGCGTTGCTCATAAATGAGCAGCACTTCACTCCCCAACCCTGAGTAACCACTCGTGACACCCCTCAGCCCCTGAAACATCAAGCGCCACCCAGATACAGCCTCCAAAGGGAAGCGCCACCCTGAAACAGGCCTCTGAGGCCAAGCGCCACTCAGAGGATGAAGAAGAAGACCAGCGCCGCAGTATCTGATGATGACGAAGTGTCGAAAGACTTCTCAGATGGAAGTCTGCAGCAGCGCCACCAAACCCTGACAAGATGACCTCTGAGGAAGAAGCTGCAGCTATGGCTGCAGCGCCACCACCCTGGAACCCCACTTCGGAGGAGGGTCCAGCAGGGCACCAACTTCTCTCGCCCCCAGCAGACCTCGATAACCCAGACCTTTGACAGCCCCGCGTGCTGGCAGAGTACAGCGCAGGTCCCAACTATGGGCAGCGCTCCGAAGGTCTGGCTATGTCTGTCTCCC